GACATGCCCTCACCAACCACTTAAACCCAAAAAACATGCCTCATCCAACCACTATATCACAGAAAACATGCCTCATCCAACCACTATATCACAGAAAACATGCCTCATCTCAACATTGTATTTATATCATCGTTACTGAAATCCAGATTTAAAGCGTTGGAAAACTAACGTTTGCTGACTCGAATATTATAGACAAACACGGTAAATCTGCTCTGACAGTTAAGCTGCTTATAGGTAGGTAAAATATATCAGATGTAAGATAAGACAAATCTGAAGGAACTCAGCTAAGGATTTTCCAAGTATTATATACTATACTTATCTGATAATTTTACTTTTTATTGTTTGACTACAGGTAATGCAAGGGGGATGTGTTATTCCACCAACGAAACCCAAAGGCAGACCGAAAAAGAACTCCATTCCATCTTACGGAATATATCAAGGATCAGAGCAGTATGAACTATCAACAGCAGCTTCCCTCTTACGCTCTGATAAAGAATCAGATATCTCTGTAGTTTGAGTATGTGTTTTTTGGAATTGTTTTTATATAGTTTTAGTCAAATGCAGTATGGATGTCTCTTTCAAAATTCAAAGCTAAGGTATTTCTACACGTATTTTCAAAAAACTATAACATAATAAGAATGTTTGAAAGGGATCTATGCAAGTGCCCCCCCCCCCTCCTAGTGGCTCAGCAGTACATCTGGGGGCTTATGATACAAAATATCGGGTTTAGATACTCTTACTGGGAACAACACAAATAGCCCTTTGTATAGATTTGAGCTTAACAGCAAACAAACCAATACAAGTAAATATGGTTTTTCTGATGGTAACTAAACATTATATAAAATATTATATAATTCTAAATCTGCTCGTTACATCCACAATATTTAAGGTAAGTTCCGATTCTGAAAGAATAATATTATAAACCAGTAGCGGGCTGTTATTGTCACAGAAATCCAAAGCGCATGCGTTGCCACTTTACGATTCTTTTTAGGAAATCAATATCATGATCTGTAAGCAGAGAGTGTTTAGCGATTTCGAATTTTTCAAATATTACATAGAGTGAAAGTATACCCTTTCCTATGTCGGTTGAGTTAAGGAAAATTATAACCTTTTTTTATATAATGAGATATGACTGTTAGGTGATTGTTTAATGGGGGTTACAACGTATTATTCTAATGAGGTAGAACTGTTTAATAGGGGTGACAACGTATTATTCTAATGAGATAGAACTGTTTAATAGGGGTTACAACGTATTATTCTAATGAGGTAGAACTGTTTAATAGGGGTTACAACGTATTATTCCAATGAGGTAGAACTGTTTAATAGGGGTTACAACGTATTATACTAATGAGATAGAACTGTTTAATAGGGGTTACAACGTATTATTCTAATGAGGTAGAACTGTTTAATAGGGGTTACAACGTATTATTCCAATGAGGTAGAACTGTTTAATAGGGGTTACAACGTATTATTCTAGTGAGGTAGAACTGTTTAATAGGGGTTACAACGTATTATTCTAGTGAGGTAGAACTGGTTAATAGGGGTTACAACGTATTATTCTAGTGAGGTAGAACTGTTTAATAGGGGTTACAACGTATTATTCCAATGAGGTAGAACTGTTTAATAGGGGTTACAACGTATTATTCCAATGAGGTAGAACTGTTTAATAGGGGTTACAACGTATTATTCTAGTGAAGTAGAACTGTTGGATATGATGAAATTTAATATGCATTATAGTCTACACTTAACGTGAAAAATGACTTTCTACGATCTGTTAAGATAAATGAAACACGTGATTTATCAACACAATTTTTCTTATATCGAACTGAATGAATACTCTGGCTTATACTTGTTCAGAGAGTGGTTATTGGTAAAGATTAAGACTTACGTCTTACGTTGTGTAAAGACTACACTCCCAATAAGAGTGAGTTTGATATATATGTTAGACACTGTAACACAAAGACATATATCTCACTGAATGTAACAGGACGTTATACACATATAGCCTAGTGAATATTACAGGACGATATACACATGTATTCTACGGAATATTACAAGACGATAGACACATCTATTCTACTGAATATAACAAGACGTTATACACATATAGCCTACTGAATATTACAGGACGATAGACACATGTATTATACGGAATATTACAGGACGATATACACATGTATTCTACTGAATGTAACAAGACGCTAGATACATGTATTCTACTGATTATAACAAGACGTTATACACATATAGACTACTGAATGTAACAGGACGATAGACACATGTATTATACGGAATATTACAAGACGATAGACACATGTATTCTACTGAATATAACAAGACGCTAGATACATGTATTCTACTGAATGTAACAGGACGTTATACATATATAGCCTACTGAATGTAACAGGATGCTAGAGAAGTATATTCTACTGAATATTACAGGACGCTAGACACATATAGCCTATTGAATATTACAGGACGCTAGACACATATAGCCTACTGAATGTAACAGGATGCAAGACAAATATAATCTACTGAATGTAACAGGATGCTAGACAAGTATATTCTACTGAATGTATCTGGACGTTATACACATATAGCCTACTGAATGTAACAGGATGCTAGACAAGTATATTCTACTGAATATAACAGGATGCTAGACAAGTATATTCTACTGAATGTAACAGGATGCTAGACAAATATATTCTACTGAATGTAACAGGATGCTAGACACATATATTCTACGGAATAAAACAGGATGCTAGACAAGTATATTCTACGGAATATAACAGGACGATAAACACATATTTTGAAATAAGATTCGAACAGTGAATGTGATAGGTTAAGATATATCTAAATATATAATGATTACAGAATTGAGAAAAAACAAGATAATTGTACTTTTCACAAATACATCAGTTATTACGACCATGGTTTCTCCAGTAAAGTCATCATCAGGTACTGGCAGAACCATGGTCTTAATAAATGATGCACTTGTGAAACGTACAATTGTTCTGTTTTTCCTCAATTCTGTAATTATGGAGTTTCACCAAGTACCGACAGTTTCAAG